TTTGTTTTGTTTTGTTTTAATTAAGGTATCATTGATATACAATTCTATGAAGGTTTCACTTGAGCAACATTATGGTTACTGTGTTAGCCCATATTATCAAGTTCCCTGCCACACCCCATTGCAGTCACTGTCCATTAGCGTAGTAAGATGCTATAGAGTCGCTGCTTGTCTTCTTCATGCTATACTGCCTTCCCTGTGAGCCACCTACATTATGTGTGTTAATCATAATGCCTTTTAATCCCCTTCTCCCTCCCCATCCCCTTCCCTTTGGTAATGGCTAGTCCCTTCTTGGAGTCCGTGAGTCTGCTGTTGTTTTGTTCCTTCGGTTTTCAGCAATGACAGTTTTACAAATGTAGTGTATCTGTTCCTTTATACAGGATACAGTCAAATACACCATTATTTGATTTTATGTGTACTTATTTTAGTTCAAAAAGCCTTTTGAGAAAGCACCGTTTTTCTTTCTCATAATATGGCCTTTCCTAATTTCCTACAAATGAAATACATCCCCAGACAGAATCTGTTTTAATAACATCTTATAGGATGTTAGCTGGTCTATCATTAGCTTACATATTTCTACCCTAGATGAGTCCTGTATTTCCCAGTACTCTATTCTGATTTCAAATAGTATATCTTCTGAACATTCTCAGCAATCTATTTGTTATAAGTAAATATATTTACTTCATGTGTTTAGAAAAAAAATAGCCCAGTAATCTTGATCCTTGTTTTCAGTCCCACTTATTCAGGAAATGGAATCCAGAATCATGATCCCACTGAAGACCTCACCCCTCCAGTAAAGCTATGGAATTTAGATGTGCCTACATAAATTGATGTGACAAGTATTTGTCATAAGTTAATTTTAATTGTATATAAAGTGAAAAAAAAGTGTACACTGCTGTATATAGCTTATGAGAGAACCTCTTTTCTTTAAAATCTACATAATCACAAGAAAGGAAACTATCACAGTTCGGTCGTGACCGTGCTCTGTAGTCCTCCTTGAAGCATCCCTGTTCGTCAAATATACCTTGTAATACTGAGCCACCACCCCTCCTCACCCTCTGGAAAAAAAGGGCCCAAATTAAAATTTGAATAATCTCCAAACAAGAATATAATCTTGGGGAGAAAAGTTGCTATTTCTTTATGAAAAGCCAATCTGTTTTATAATTACAGATTTTTAGACAAATTTCTTGTATCAGGAAGAAATATAAATTTTGTCATGTTTCTCTAACAGTCTTTCTGAGTCTCAGACTGGGAACAAATTATGAGTGTATGCAATACCTGAAAATGTTTTAATTCACTCTCATTTTTAATCAGTCAGTGTCCATTACTCAGCTGGTGTGGTTGCCAGGGTACATTTAATTCAGTCATCACAGTGTTTTGTGATATCTCATTATGAGAGGGGAAATGGCTTGAACCTGTATATCATGTGATTTTGAAGTGAACACCTTGAATAGCACTAATTTTTATTTGTAATATTTTTCTATAACAAAATGAGTAGCACTAGGAAAAGAGGTTTTATTTTGTAAACAAGCATTTGTGATCTCAGACGTTCTCTAGTTAATATTTTAGTAAGCTCACAGCATATACTTCCAAAATTATGGATGAAGGGTGGTGCATGTTGACATTTAAATTGGCATAAAGCTGCATACTTTATCTAGCTGTTTGATTTTGTTTTTTAATACAGTGTGCCAATTTTGTGACTGTAATCATGTGAAAGTCCTGTTGAAATGAAAAATTATATCTGACCCCAAATTAAAGAATTATGTGTAAATTGTGAATAAATCTCATCAAATGTCAAACTTTTACATGGGAATGGTTTTCTCCAAGAACATATAAAAGTCAATAAAATATTCTTAATTTTCACATGTTTGCAATCTTTTCTTAATGAACTTGTGCTGAGAATGATTCTGTCAATCTTAAAAAACAGCTTGTCCCAGTTAAGTGAGCATATGTGAGTCTATAAATATATTAAATAAGGTCATTCGCCTTTTCCTTTGGCCATTCAGTAGGGTGTTATGGGGAATGTGCCAGTCCTGGGGTTTGAGGTTCTGGGCTCTCAGCAGAACAGGACTTTGTAGTCCAGGCTGTGCTCCTTTATGAAGTATTTATCCTCTTGGCATTCATATCCTTAAACTATAAAATAGGGAGGTTGAATCCTAAGGCCTTTGAAGTCCCTTTAGCTCTGAATTTCTGTAACTGGCTCTTCTTGGTGCCATTGGGAGCAGTAGGAGAGAGTATAGTGAAAACATTTTAGCACCAGCAATTGTGATTGGATGCTCAGAGTATGTTTGCAGGACATGAATGAAAGAACTATTCTATGAAACTACTTTCTAAAGAAAAATGATAAAATTAGTATTACTAGTAAAATTAATCTAGCTATTCAGAATTGGAAAAAAATTGCTGAGAACGAGAACTTTCACTTACAAAGTATGTGGACTTGTAAATGAAATAAACCCTGCACAAGTCAGGAATCTTCTATCATTTACTGGTATATTAGAGTTCTCCAGAGAAACTAAACCAATATATCTAGATGCAGAAACATATGAGGAGATTTATTATAAGAATTAGCTCACACAGTTAATGGAAGCCAAGAAGTCCTACAATCTTCCATCTGCCAGCTGGAGAATCAGAAAAACTAATGGAATAATTCTGTCCAAGTCCAGAGGCCTGAGTCAGGGAGCCAGTGGTGTAACGCCCAATCTGAAGTCAAAGGTCCAAGCACAAGAGCTCCAGTATCTGAAAGCAGAAGGATGTCTCAGCTCAAGGAGAGAGTGAATTTTCCCTTTGCCTTTTCCATTCAGGCCCCCAACAGATTGGATGATGCCTACCCACATTGGTGAGGGTGGATCTCTTTACTCAGTCTGTTGAATCAAATACTTACCTTACAGAAACACCCTTTCAAATACACCCAGAAATAGTGTTTCACCAGCTCTCAGGGCATCCCTTAGGCCAGTCAAGTGGACACAAAGTTAACTATCACAACTGGGCTCAAGGGCCTCCCTAAACTGCTTCATCCACCAATTACCCATCCCCAGGCCATTCAGTATCTGGTGAGCAGCAGAGTGTCCAGGTGCCAAATAGAATATGTAAGAACGTTTTCCTTTAGAAATAGTTTGCATCTTTTTATTTGCTCCTTAAAGGATCTTTTTGTTCAGAAAAGGATAGAGCAGTGAACTGAATCACTAAAATGGAATTCTTTCAGAGTACACCCTACTTTAGGAGAAGGAATTTCTGTCCTACTTAAGTCATTGGATTTCACAAGTCAGCCTTCCCCACACTGGGCTTTAGTCTTTATTCAGTTCAACAAATACTAAGTTTCTGTTACGTACTATAAGCACTAGGCACTTGGAACAAAACATGATCCCTGCCCTTGGGAAGCTTACCGTCCAGTGAAAGGAGACTGGCAATTAAAATATAACACTGTAAGTTATATGATATGGTAGACGTTGATAAATGCTACAGGGGAAGACAATAAAACAGGGTAATGGAAGTCAGGAATCTAAGGCTGGGCTGGGAAGGGCAGTATGTTTATTAAACATGTCAGAGTTGGCCTTGATGAAAAGCCGAGATTTAGGTGAAAAAAATTGAAGGAGATATGGAAGTTAGCAGTCTTGGGTTGGGGTGGGGGTGAGAAGGTGGATCCTTCCATGGAAGGGAATGGCTACAGGGCCCTAAGGCAGAGTCATGCCTGCTGGGCACTGGAGCAGCAGAGACCACTGTGGCTAGAAGAGGTGAGAGGGACAGCTTGGTGGAAGAAGAGGTCAAGGGGGCACAGGGCTGGATCAGTAGGGTCCATTGGGAAGACCCTGGCTTCTACTCTTAAGTGAGATGGGATATATTGGGAGGTTTTAAGGAGAGGATGGTATGATCTGACTTAGTTTTAAATGGTGGCTTGGACTAGGGGTAGCAGTACAAGTAGGAAGAATGGTCCTATTCTAAATATAGTTAGAGCCAACATGGTTTCACTTGGAACAATTGATTGTGGAGTGTGAATGAAAGAGAAACATTGAAAGTGACTAAGTTTTTGGCCTCAGCAACTAGAGGGAGGGGAAGACTGGAGGTGGAACGTATTTGGGGGAATGAAGATCAGGAATTCTATTTTGCTCATGTTGAGTTTGAGATATCTATGCAGATAACCAGGTAGAGATATCAGGTGGGCAGTTGGGTATATGAGTCTGAAATTGAGGAGAGGGGCATTACGTAGTATAAAATGTGTCTGGTCCAAGTTGGCCTGGAGGTAAAACATCTGTGAATTGTCTGCATGTAGGATTTAAAGTCTCACAGGGAGTGAGTATATAGAGAAGAGGACCAGGGTGAGGAGGAACCAGGAAGAAGGTGAGAAACCACCAGGGAAATAGGAAGAAACTCAAGGAAGTGGGTTATCATGAAAGCCGAGTAAAGAAAGCCCATCAAGGATGAGGTCACCTGGGTTAGTTACTGTGAAGCTGGGTTAGATGAGGTCTGAAGACTCATCATTAATTTGGTAACATGGGGGACACTGGCAACTTTTGACAGGAACATTCTATTATTAAACTCTATCACTTTATTATAGCTATTTTTGCCAATATGTCAAGTCCCTTAGTAGAATGAATTGGGTTATTTTTGTCCTACTATTAATTTTCACGGGCAGTAATCAAAATTCCTTACTTTCCATTCATGGGGAAAAGTCTGGTGAATATTACTTCAATAGCCAATTCATCTTTATCATTCACCCCTACTACCTTTAAAAGCTCTCTTGGGCCCACACTTTGCTTCTAACTTGATAGAACCTGCTTATTTTCCTTATCTTCATAGCTGCCTGTGAAAGATTCTTTTCTTCAATTGTACGTTAGCCTTCTTTATTTCTTATTAATCTATACTTTCAGTTTCTGGCTGGGGCATAATAGATGTTCAACAATATGCTTGGTGAAGGAAGAGAGGGGGAAATAAAAGGGAGGGAAAAAGGGAAGGAGGGAAAAGAGGATGGAGACTGTCAGTTCTAGTGATAAAATACATGGGACTCAGCAGGACAAGTGTCTTTATTCACAGTGTTTCTCATGCAAGTTCTAGAACTAAGAAATTAATAGGCTATGCCTAGATAAGCTCAGTAAAAACAATTCAAAAAACTATGAACATATACAGAAATATGCTTAGAGTTTGAAACCATGATCAGCAAAATACTAAACAGTCCTCTATTAACTAGTTCTAAAAGTAGTAATTTCTCCAGAGTTGACCATTTAAAATGAGACCACTTGCAGTTTTTGCAAAACTTGCCCTTCCATCCTCAGGAGTAAAATTTCCTGTACTGTATTAATATACATTAACACATGTGATCAAAGTGTTAATAAGTATTAGCTTTAGGTGGATTCTCCTGGCCCCAGTAAATTGTTAACTCTCTAGTAATGCATAAGATAAAGAACGCTGTGAAATCATTGGCTTGTCTTCCAGCTCTGAAAGTGACCTTGTAGCAGTCATTAACTTGTATGAGCTTGTTTCCCATCTGTTAAAAAAGAAGACAGAGGTATTACTGCTGACCTCAGGGTTGTGAGAATCACATGAGGAAACACGTGAAAACACCTTGGAAAATGTGGAAATAAGCAGCGTGACTTGTGGTCATATCCCTCCCCAAGTTTTCTGAACCTGATCATAAAGATTCTGAGGGTCATAGAGGCAAAAGCCATCATGTTTATGCCATCACTTCCTGAGCCCACCCACTTGACTGGAATCTCTTGCTTACTCCTGCCCCAGGACTAGAATGCTGTCCCTCACTCTTGGGGTGGCAGCTGGGTGAGCCTCTGTAGGTGTCATGGAGAAACATTTGTCTCCAGTAGAAGAGAGAGAATCACTATGACAGCAGCCAAACCAGAAAGGGGTTGGTGAGGAGCAGCTAAAGGCCATAGGGTTGTCTTTTTTTTTAAGGATATAAAAGCTTTGAGAGATTTCTCTTTCAATTACTACCATGACAAATTTCGGTACTTAACTTATGACCCCAATTCTTAACTTTTTCTGTTTACGTAAATGTTCATATCAGACTGAAAAATGGTGACACAAGGATAGGCAGCCATGTAACACCACCACCACTTTCTGATCCTGTTCCAGCATAACCATGTCCATAACTTCTGGGGAGCCATTCTGTCGCTGGGTCAAGTTCAGAATTATAAAAACATGAAAGAGGTTAGCACAGTTCCCCAACACAATAAAAAAGGATTGTGCATGCTGTCTTTGCAGCTTGCTGCCAGCTGGGCAGCCTATGGGCCAGAGGGGTTGTATAAATGGTATAAAAGGTTCAAGGCAGGTATCACCATTTCTCAGCAGATCAGACTCCTCTGAGCCAAATTCAACATGCACTTCCTGCCCAGGCCATTGCCCAGTGGATCGCAGGCTCTGACATCCTCCACCTACCCGCGGGCAGCTTGCTCCAGCTCATGCACAGTGGGCGATGGCCAAGGCGGAGGCAGTTGGGAGCGCTCTCAGACCTGGCGTGCCTGGTGCTGCCAGAGCACAGCATGGACAAAAGTAGAGACATCACAAAACCGCTTCTAGAAGAGTTACCAGTGAGCATTCATGGTCATGAAACAACCACCTCATTGTTTGTGGTCTCTTTTAAATGTTGCCAAACTTATTTCATGTCTCTCCTACAGAAGGAAATTTGATTCATCTGATTTGATTAATTTGACCAAGTAATTATCTGATTATTTGGCCAAATTTGATTATTCAGTTCAATTATAAATTTTTCAAATAATTTCCAATATTAAAGCCTCCCAGCCTTTTCTACAGAATTATCCAACAGTACCCACTGCACTCCTCTTCCTGAACTCTTTATCCTCCCCCATTGTTCCACCATGGAGGATATATCATCTTATACTTTCAAAGCATGTTCTGAAATTACCTTCTTGGCACTGCTCAGAATAAAAATGAACCTGGTTTTCAGGTCTTTCCAAGTCACCTTAAGAAAGAAATGGTTCATAAATGCTATTATAAGTTCTTAATTGATTTAGGGGAAAATGCTTTTTTTCATTTGGGATGAGTAAAGCTTTTTAGTTCTTTTACTTCAGGTAATGATCAATATCCATATTTGTAAGGCCAGCACATTTGTTTAAGGCTCCTTTTTTCTTAAGCCTTGGGAATATGCTCTATATGGTGGTTCCAAGTGGTAATAAAAGCACTTCCATCCCCCTAGTCCAGCAGTGCACTCAGAGCAAGAGTTGGTGGGTACTTGTGACGAGTACTATGTCCTGTGCTCAAGGGAATCTCAGCTCCTTATTTCTGCCAGGAGGTTGTTTCCACTCAAACACTTAGAATACTTTAAACATTGGATACTGAAATACATGATAGGCAGAATTGAAAACTCCACAAATCTGCTGATACATAAACTTTTATTTATATACCAGAGGGCAAACAATATTCACTTGAAGCTGCCTAATCCATATTTCCAATAGCAAAGGTATTTAATTTATGATCTACCTTTAAAAGGCTTCAAATAAAATACAGTTAGGCAAATACATAACAAATTCAGATTATAAAACTCTCCTTTCCAGGTAATTAATAGTCATAATAATACTGGAACTACAGTTTTAAAAAGTTTAGAAATTTTCTAGGAGCCCTGACTCTGGTTTACTTGGAAGTACACATACTCGGTACCAAATTTATATATTAAGGTGTAATAGGCAATTGCAAGCAAACAGTATCAAACTGTACAATTTAAAAAAATTAACCTTAAGTTGTTATGAGTTATATAAAAAGGTGTATTATTCTTCTAGTTCTCCCAAAAGCTCTGCAAAATCAGTGATGTACCATTCCGCATTGTCCTTTATTTGCTGCCTGATCACATTTCCTCCAAATCCAACAAAAACATCCTAAGGAGGAAAAAAAAGGAATTACTTTTTTTAAAAAGGCACAGCAGCAGCCTGGGGCAGTAAATATTTGAAAGAATAAACTACAGATAAGTGAGCCAAGCTCCCCTGTGCCTCCCCAGCCTTCCTGCCTCTTCCTGCCGGTGAATGAATGACTCAATGCACCGACTCCTGGGCTTCAAGGAGAGTTTAAACCCTGGTAAAACCAATACAATTGCTTACAAAGACAAAAATCACACCAAGTGGTGAATATCTGAGTTCTGTCTATGATGCAGTCACCCCCGGGCTGGGCTGTTGCCAAGAAGGAATATCAAAGAGAAGCCTGTGGTGCCTCAGGAATCCCCCTGACCGGGCATCAGGACCAGGGCGGCCCTGGTGGCCCTGGGTGCCCAGGGAGCTATGCTGTTCTGGCCTGAAGGAGAGGACAGCCCCAGTATTTTTGGCAGCACTCTAGTTTTCATCATTAAAATTACCCAAAGTTGCATTGGTTCATTAATTCCTATTAAGTGATACCTTCTTTTAGTCAATGATCTTTTAAAACAGTATTTTGTCTTTTCTGCCAGGATATAAACTGTGTGTGTGTATGTATGTATATATATATATATATATACATACATACACACACACACACACACACACACACACACACACTCTCTAATTTTGGAAGGACAAATTCTCTTACTTGTCCTTTCTTTGCTTTTTTATTTTCATACCACACACAGAGAAAGAAAAACTAGATTCCCAGTTAAAATTAGCTTCCTAACTGAGCTTCCTGCCCCTGTGGTTGAACTTTCTGCATGCCAGTGCCAATTCGGCTGTCCTAACACTTTGACTATTTGCTTCTCTGTCCAGGAGCCTTCCGGGGCTTCCAGGACCTAGAGGAAACATGAAACTGGCTGGCAGGCAGGTCTTCAGCAATTGCTGGAGAGAAAGCCCACTCCTGCTCATCCTTCTCCACTGACCAGTCCAGGACTACACCTAGTTCACCCTCACTCTGCTCTGCTGCCTCCCCACCCTCCAGAAACCTCCTAAATCTTGCCAGGCCTTCACATGGTGGCTAACCTTCCTCTACATCACACCTTCCTCTGACCATCTTCAAGGGTTACACACCTGCGTACTCACCACTTTTCTCTTAGTTTGGCCAGGCCGTGTCAGCTGACTGGTATGGTCATCTAGAGTTTATAACTTTGTCATTTCTTGACGTTGGGACGGGAAGCTCCTTGAGAGGGCTCTGCATTGTATTTCTATGTATTCCTCATTAAACCAGCCCTATGTTCATTACTTAGTCAGCCTCAAAGTTGGTTGCAAATCATCTAAGAACATGTCAGTTTGAACTGACTCAAGTAATGTTAAAAGGATTCAAAATATTCTTTAACCACATATAATTAATCATTTACAAAGACAATTACTATTTTTAGATCTCAGGAAACTAGGTAACAAAAAGTTCACCACTATATTTTTGTTTCAGTTTTTCTTAAGTTAGAATGAGACAATAAAGGCAAAGTCCTATGTGAAATGAACACATTTGATATTTAAGACACTGACTGCATAGCATTTGTTTCCTGCTATTCTCAGAAAACAACATTAATTCAGAAGAATAAAATGGTACAGGTACCAGCCTCTGTCTCCCATTCAGTAAAAAGGAGAAGATAATATTTTACCTAACAGGCTATTATGAAAATTAAATGAGATAACATATGATGAAATAGTGTATCAAATACAAAAGAACATGAAAATTTCTGTTGCAGTTGTTAAGAGCTGTCTGTGATATTATTTGGGGAAATGAAGCTGAACTTTGTTGAGCAAACACCTGGGCTAAGAGGTGGCAGCCGTGCTACAGGTACAGGGGTTGTAAAGTTTTAAAGGTTTTTTTTAGTTCCCTATTCACAACCTTTCTTGGCTTTGCAAAAAGTCACTTGACTTATTGAAATTGAATTTATTTATCTTATTTTTTATTTTATAATGATAGTTAGATGGCTTTAACTCTCACCAGTCTTACCGAGTTCTAAATCAACTATCTAAAACAAAAGTACAATCAGAAAAAACAGCATGCTTAATACATACAGCAGGAGGACAGGCTTCCATGTCTGTGGCTCCATCTCCAATCATGACTATTTTCTTAAAATGAAATTTGTCCTTTAAAAGTTTAATAACTTTTCCTTTCCCACCAGATTCAGCTGTTGGCTGCATCTCATCAAAACCGGCATATTCACCTTAAAAGGGCAGTTAAGAAAGTGTTAAGGATTCACAGAATTTTATCCATAGGGCCAGGTCTTTGCAGAGATGATATCCTCATTTAAATGTCACTAAAAATGCCCTGTGTAAAGTGACATAGCCTGGACTTCCACACCTATTCTTCAGAATACACAAGCTTTGCTTTTAAATTAAAAATACCTCTCCTCAAGCTGCCTCCTTTAAGTTATAAGTACCTTGGGGTAAATTAGTGTAGTAATTCTCAAACCTTGGTGAGGTGGCAGAATATCATGAACAGTTAAAATAAGTTCATTTTTAATTTTTTTAAAATAAGTTAATTTTTATTTAATCTAAGAGGAGATCCCAACTTATATTTGATCAGTCATTTTAATTCTTACAGTAAGCACCACACTCATTCTCTACTTCTGTTTTTAATTATCTCTATCTATAGACCCTTCAAAAGTGCTGTATGAACATAAATAAAAAATTTCAAATTAATATTATTTGGTCTTAAGGATGTCAGACACCCCGTGATGTGACTGCAGACATCTTGAGATCACAGAAAACCACAGCTTCGGCTGTGTGGTGGTCCAGAGGGGCCAGGAGGCACCTCCAAGGCCAGCTACAATGTAGTGACTCTGGTTCAAATACATGAGAGCTCTCATAAAGCTGAAATACAATGAATAACAAAGTAAGTCATGTGGTGGTTACATAGGAATTAGCATTTTACAAAGTGCAGACATTTACACACAGAGATGGTTGTGTGGACACTAAAGCTAGAAGAGATGATGACCTTGTCAAGCAAAAGATGTCAGTCAAGAGAATCCTTTAGCTCAATGTTTTACTCTGATGCCACTTTGCTTAAGTTGCATTCTAAGAGACATTACCTAGGATATTTGATACTAAAATTATTAAGAAAGGGAAAATGTTACCATTAAAGTCTTACCATTAAAGTAGAACTTCAGCCTATTGGCAAATACATTGGTTGATGGGATATTCAGCTTTGAAGCAACATGCTCTACAATGCTCCTAAAACCACCAGATATTAGGAAAACCTGAATGTTTCGCTCTTGTAGGCTACTTACTAGCTCCCTGCAAAAATGAAACATAGAGTACAAACACTGATTAGTATAAAAGAGGAAACATGAAGCATGAAAAGGAAACTAAAATGTTTGTTTTTCTCCTATATATATATTTGCCCGACATACACTGGACAAGGTGTATTGCCTGGTAAATGTTTCAAATGTTTTTCTAAATGTACTTAGAAATTAATAGGTGGAGTTTGACTGCTTTAGGAAACCATTCTGTGGCTCTGTTCTGCCCACGGGCCAAGAAACACTTGATGATGGGGAGTCTAGCTTTCCCCGGGTAGAGAGGGAAGGCAGACATGGCCAGGACCAACCAGACAAGACCATATGGAAGTGCTGAAATGACCACACAGAGGGGAGCACTAAAGCAATGGTGACACACACACCCCAATACAGGCACTGCCAGACAACACCCAGACAGTGCTCTTACCTTATGCCGGGAGTTAGGTGTGGGGGGTGCTCTGCTAGGAGCCTTTGCACCTGTTCCCTGGAGGGCTGGATCAGAGCCAGTCGCTCAGTGAGGGCAGCCTTGAAAGGCACTGCCCCACCCATGGCTCGCCGTGTCCTAGAAGGAAGAGCTGACTGTCAAGCCAGCCAAGTCAGTTGTCCTGGGAGCTTACCTGCTTAACCCCCCAACTCCTTCAACAGGCACCCACGCAGAAAGGGCTGCCTCAAACCGCACTGCACGAGTGATAAGCTACAACGCCATGAGGGCTAGGCTGGGGATAAGCAACTGAGAGTTTGCTTGAGAATCACATTACTATTTTGGGGCCATGTCTCGCACCAAATGCAGCTGAACATGAAATGGTCCATGGCCTGGTGACCGCAGGCAGCACTAGGGAGAGGGGGGAGAAAGGGCATCTACCAAGAGACTGAACCAAAGCTAACTTCCCAGCAAACTGCCTAAGCCACATTTTCACCATGACATGAAGCACTGGACAGAAATGCAGGACTTGGTGACCCCTTCAGATCATCTTCTTTGGTTAGTTATGCTCACCGTTCCCTGACCAGGCTAATAGCATGTCACCCAGATTGGTTTGTCAGAGGCAACCATTTTTTTGCCATAAATATTTATCAAAGGGCGGATTGGATGATGTACACACATTCAGTTCTAAGGGACAGAAGAAAAAGCCTAGTGCCCGTGTTTCATAGCCAGGGACTGAAAATGAAGGAATTGTGTCTTTGGTTCTGCATGTCATCCAAAAGTCACTCTCCTTTGCCATTCTGTATCATTAAAGTGAATAAAAATTGTTCCTACATTTCTGACACAGCATCCTCAACTCCACAGAATTTGGCCAGCTCATCAATTCCTTCTTCTCTGATGACTGTGCTGTCAACATCAAAGCATACAGCATCAGCGGAACAGAAAAGTTTTCTCAGCTCTGAATGGGATACCATCCTTGGAAGAATTTTCCTCCTACAATAGCAAATGATAAATATATTTAAATACCCACGATCATAAAAATGTCCAACACTGCCTACTGATACCAATGTACTTTGATAAGTATCAAAGTCAGTGTAATCCATATTAACATGTACCCATGGACTCTCATTTTTTAACACAAATTAAGCACCTTCTAAATGTCAGGCTCTGGGACCAAAAGATGAACAAGACCAAGCTCTGTTCCCAGAATCTTAGTGTAGTGAAGGCACCAACCTGTAAATACATTGATGTTCACCAATGTTCAACTATTTTTGACTAATAATTATAGCAAAAACAGAAATGTGCATACTACTATGGGCACACAGAGAAAATGTTTAACCTTATCTATGAAACAGGGCTTCCAGGAGACACAAGCATATAAGCTGAATCTTACAGGGTAAGTGGCCTTCTGAGAGGGATCTCAAAGGGCAGGATATCAATTTGGTGTTCTCTGGGAGAAGGGAGAGAGATGGAGGCCAGAAAAAGAGGGTAGTGGTGGCAGAGGGAAGAGCATGAGAAGAGTGGTGAGAAGGAAGAATGAGGGGTGACATGCTGAAAGCTACCTCTGGGCTTAGTCCAGCTGTTGGGAGAGTTCATCCCAAGTAGGGCCTTGAGCCAGGCCAAGGAGTTAGGATTTTAAATTCTGGGTAGTGGGAAATCTTGGAAGGTTTTATGCCTCAGAAGAGAGGTCAGCGCTAAAAAAACGTACTTTTTGTTTGAGGGCGTGGCCCACAGAAAGTCACCAGAGAATGTGGAGAGAGGGGAAAAAGAAGAAGGTTGAGGACTGAACTTACAGGAATGAAAACTTCAGGTCAGGAGCCTGGGAAAGGAAGTGAAAAGGAGAGGTCACAGGAAGAGACTCGGAGAGACCAAGACCACAATATTGCAGAAGCTGTAGAAGACAGAGTTTCAAAAGGAATTTTGAGGGTACTTTTTAGTTTTAAAGAAAATCATTGCATGAGAATCATGGAGGTGAACAGGATCCAGAGGTCGCCTAGACTAGTCCCACCCAAGAGACTAAACAGGTCGTGTACAAGGCCACACAGATGATACAAATAATCGACATTTAGAATAGACATTGACTGAAAACACACTCAAAGAAGCTGGCCAACCCACTTCATAGCTGATTCCTAACTAACCTGCATTTGGCAGACCTGGAAAAAATATCTTTTAAACCAAGGGTAGGCAAATATAGCCTGTAGGAAGAAATCCACCCTGTCACCTGTTTTTGTAAGGCCTATGAAGTACGAATGGCTTTTACTTTCTAAATAGTTGGAAAAAATCAAGAATAAAATACTGCGACACAAGAAAATTACATGAAATTCAAAATTGAACACCCATAATAAAGTTCTACTAGAACACATTCGTGTTCATTTGTTTACATGTCTATAGCTGCTTGCCCACTACAACAGATGAGTTGAGTAGCTGCAACACCACTGTATGTCCTACAAAGCCTAAAATATTTACTATCTAGCCCTTTACAGAAAAAATTGCCAACCCTTGTTTGGAGCTCTTACAAGAAAGTATTCCAAATAGGAAAATATGAGTTTCATTGGACACCCACTAAAAAGGGGAAAGAGAAGGTGAAATTAATAAATCCAGTTAAATAATATCATCTCAAATGCTGTACTAACATTATCAATCTAAACATGAAAGAAGTTTCCATTTAATACAAAACTATTTTAAAAAACATGAATATGAAATATATATGCTACTGGTTACCTACAATCTGTAATTTTCCTCCATCATCATGCTCTTGTTCAAGCTGATCCCTCAACTTAGAGGACTGACTTCACAAGTTCATATATTGTCCCCTCTCTGAGACTAAGTTCCATTGGTTGGTTCTCTTCTGTTCTCTTAATGTTGCAATGACAGCCAGATGCAAGAGATGCACAGGGTAAGGTTATGTAGGAAAAGGCTTAGAGCTTCCATGCCCTCTCCAGACATGCCACTCAACTTGCACCTCCATGCAAGGAAGCTTCCAACCTGAAGCTCTCCACACCCCATCCTTTCGGAATTTTTATGGGGATTTTATGAAGGCTTGGTTGATTAAATCACTGGCCATTGGTGACTAAACTGAACCTGTAGCTCATCTGAAAGTTTCAACCCTCTAATACCTGGTTGGCTCTCCCAGCAAACAGGCACCATCTTTACTGTGATCCAAAAGTCCCCTCAATAACATAACAAGAATTGCTCTCATCACGGGAAATCCCAAGGATTTTAGGAGCTGGGTGCCAGAAATGGGGACAAAACCAAGTATGTTTTTTATTAACCATATCATAATGACACCCACACACTTCCATCTTCCCTCATATCTCAAAGCAAATCATATCATTTCATACAAAAATATTTCAGTATGCAATTTATAAAAGGTAAAGACTTCTTTTTAACATAGTCATTTGCATTTTAATTTTAACTGTACTATATCTGCCTGTATTCAGGTCTGGCTGCTCAGGATTCTAGAATCAAATCAGATTAAAACTTAATGATATCAGATCTTATGATGCCCTTGCCAATCCATTCCCCATCATTAGCATATAAATTAGCATAATGTCTCTGTTATTCAATTTGTGTATATGCCCTTCATGATTTGGATCCTACCTATTTCACCAATCTATTCTCATTGCTCTTCTCCCCCTACAAATACACACATACACACACAACTTATGCTCAAGGAATACAGAAGACTTCTTGTTCCTTAAATGCGTCATGGTTTTTCATTCCTCTAAGTCTTTGCAAATGCTGTTCCCTCTGCCTGAAATCACCTAATCCCTTATGTCTAATGAGCAAAATCCTACTTATTCTCCAAATTAAATACCCTTCCCTGTACTACACTATTTCCTTTCTATGCCCCCCTACTCAGAGAATCAATTAATCAATCACTTCTATTCCTCTCCTAGGATGTGAGTTCCTTGAGGAGGACCATGGCTGAATTATCTATCTCATTTTCCAGCACTCAGTAGGTGTTAAGTAAATGTTTCAAGAAATAGAGCTGAATCTAAGCAGTTTTTGAAAACTCAGCATGGAACTGAGTAGATTATCATCCTCAAGAAAATTCCAATTTAGTGTGCTATTAGCCTGAAATTAAAATCCTTAGCCAGTAATGATGTGCTATACTAAAGAAACAAAATCAACATCATAGATCTTGAAGTTGGAAGAAACAAAGCCATCACAAGTCTGATCACATGCCTTTCTGCAGGAATGATATTAATGTACCCATTTCACAGATTACCTAAAAGAGGTATAAGGAGTGAAATGCTTTACCCAAGAGTACACAGCAACTAAGTGATGGCTAAAGGACAAAATTTGAATCTCAAATGCATGAGACAGCATAAAAAAGGTGGATAAATAGAGCAGAACTAAATAATGTTAAGCATTGATAAGAACCTAACACAGATCCAAGAAATGTCAGATTTTCATCAAGAATTCAGACCAAAGTTCTGCAAGCTGGACAACACTAGATGATGATTCCCTAACAGTGAAAGAAGAAAGTCTGCACATTCTTTGGGAGACCAGCAGATAGAAACAGATTTCAAAAATCTTCACATTCCCACCAAGGCAGGGAACTCCAAGGAGCTCATGTAACACTCTCTCTGTGGCTCAGAAACCACCTATTTGGCTCTGGCCCAGAAGAAATCAACCTAATTCACATTACATGGTTAGGCAGGCTCACTATAAAAGCCTAGAAGACAGCAGTCTATCAGCAGAGAAGCAGTGCTTAATGTAATGCAATTCCACTGAGCACAAACAAGGAGCCCTATGTAAATGTAGAGAAAGCCAGGAACAGACAGACAAATGATGTATGAGGAGCTAAAGTGAGATAAACAGGATCGGCTGAAGAATCTTTTAAGAATATGCATGAGTTAATACAACATAACAAAGATGGGCAATTTTCCTGCGAAGACTGACAGGCTCCTGGAGCCTCAACATTAGTAAGAAAGCACTGCCAGCCCATGCTGCCACCTGTGCCTGGCAGAGAATCTGAGAAGTACAGAACAGTCACCATCTTCAAGAGGTTTCCAGGCTCACTGAGATGATTAGACAAATCACTATTGCCCATGTTGGAAAAGAGACTTGAGCCTCTTTCAAACCACCGATACCAGCTATAGTTATAACCAGACATCAGCCTCGAATATGAAAGGGAATGCACATTTCCTCAAATAAAATAAGGAATGATTTCCGTCTCCCCCAGTGAACACTAGTGGCCTGCTCACTCATGACCCAGAATTGCCAGCACGTGACTCCTGAGCTGCGCTGTGGTTCCTAAGGCAAAGAAAATAGGATGTTAGAGAGAAACATTACATTGGACTTACTTGGAAAGCCGATACATTCTCCACACCCTTCCTAAGAGACAGAACTGGATTGCATGACCTTAACTTTTACCCACGAAATGCTCATTGCCAGGAGATATGCCCTCTACCCCTCCGGTGACTCGGATTCCAAACCCCTGCTTAGACATCAGAGCAAACTCATCCTTAGTCTCTTTCAGCGCTTCCCAACCAGCACTGCTACACCCTCTGCCTCTGTTCACTTCTGGGTCCCTCTTTTTCCCATGTTCTCCACCAGGAGTGACTCACAACTCATACATACTCAAAATTCTCACAGGTACAGGGGGAAAAAGTCTGTTGAGTAAGTTCAGTTGTTTCAAAGTAAATTGTGTACATAAGAATTTCACACAAAGAAAAATCTTTGCTAGAGAATGGACTCTGGATCCCTCACATCTGGCCTTTGGGGGCTGGGGGACAGGACTAGGGGTGGAAGAAATCCTGGTAGAAGGGTCTGTGCTTAGACATGGCAGCTCTGAGACCCCATCCCGACCTCTGAACCACTGCTTTCAGTGGCTCACAACAGGACTCTTGCCCGCTGGGCACCCAAACTGGTCAGTCTTAGGAAAGCAGAAGGCCAAATGGTAGAGAAGCACTGCTAACCACCCCTTCTCACCCCCAGCTCCAGAAGTAAAAAAGCAAGTTTTCCTCCAGGGCCAGTCGTAGAAG